CCTCAGCACCACATAAGCAAAAAGAAAAAAGCCAGAAGTGGCGCTGTGGCTCAAGTGGTAGAGCGCTAGCCTTGAGCTGAGGAGCTGAGGGACAACGCCCAGGCCAGAGTTCAGGCCCCACGACTGGACCCCCCCAAAAAAAAAAAAAAGTATGGTCTAGGGCAGGAAAGGTGACTCAGTGGTAGAGTACTTGCCTTGCATGCATGAGGCCCTGTGTTCAGTTCCTTAGCACCACATAAACAGAAAAAGCTCAAAGTGGAGCTGTGGCTCAAATGGTAGAGTATTAGCCTTGAACTGAAGAGCTGAGGGACAGCGCCTGGGCCCAGAGTTCAGGCCTCATGATAGACCAAAAAAAAACACAACAACAACAAAAAATCTTAATTATTTCCTCTTATTTGCTCGTGTGTTCTTTGAAGATAATGATTGTTCTGGCTCACGACATGATAGGTTAAATTTTCTGTGTCTATGTTTCTCAATTATACTGATGTGTGTTTGATTTGATGGCAGGGGACCCCAGTTGGATCCCAGACTGGTATACCAACTGAGGCTTTGGTGAAGGGATCAATTTCCAGGATGCCCATGGAAGAAAGCAGTCCTGAGAAAGGCAGAGAAGAAGCTACATCCAAAGGCCATGTTATTTATGAAGGCAAGAGTGGACATATCTTATCATATGATAGTAAGTATTTTGTATTGCTAATGCCAGTCTTCATAGGTATAATTGGAAACAGGCTGTATGTAGTTTGTTTAGATTCTCCTTGTGAGTGAATCAGTTGGCCTTTGCTGAACCATGTTTTCCTCTCATAATAATACCTGTCTCATGAAAATTTTGTGTGGAAAAATCCACTGCGACAGTAAAAAGCGGTTACCAGTAAAGAGCCCAAAGGAAGTTTTCCATGAGTTGGAGCTGACATCATTATTGATAGTCTTGATAGTCATGTTTAACGTCAATGGAATCACTTTTAATAGGATTTATATTATAAATTATGGATTCCATAATTTGATTATCCTGGAAAGAATATTAAATTTAAATTTTCAGTAAACCGTAAAATGCTTATAACTATCTATCTAAACATTTTCTTTAAGTGAGTTCTTCAGTTATATTTTACTTGTAATATTTCATGAGAATGACTCATAAGATGTAAATATTCAGGGGATTGAGCTTGAGTTCTTGTGTGCAGCTGTCTTTGTAACCTTGTATTTGTTAGTAGCTATGTATTTTCTCTTCAAATACAGAGAAGTAAAGCATGTACAGCAGTGTGTGATGTTACAAAGTGCATCATAGCTTTCTTATTTCCTTCTTTAAAAAATATATCTAGTATAGTATATTGACATTTTATTTGATGTGAAAAAATTATGATTCTCAAGTCAGATATATCTGGAAATATTTCTTGTTTTCTTTTCAAACCCATTAAATCATTCAGTTGTTTCTATTTCTTAAAGCCTGTGGAATTCATATATTTACTCTATTTCCCCATCTTTTGTTTGTGTAACTCTGACTGCACAACTGATTCACAATTGTGCTATATGTTGCTTCCTACGTGACTCTCCATTGCCTTTAAGATAACTGTAAGCCCTCTCTGTAAGCTTTGCTATTTCTGTGTGTTTGGCTTCTAGTTTATCCCTGCAGGTTATTTTCTTCTAATTCTCCCTCTCATACTGCCTGCATTTCCTTCTACTTTCCTCCTAACTCTACTCTTTTTTTTAAAATAACGTTTTTTATTGTAAAAATAGTGTACAGAGAGGTTACAGTTACATGAGTAGGGTATTGTGTACATTTCCTATCGAGCATTATTACCTCCTCCTTTGTTTTCCCCCTACCATTCCTTCCCTCCTCACCTCCCCAACTCCTTCCTCCCTTCTCCCAAGTTATAAAGTTCGTTTTCAGCATAGTGTCTTGTACATCTCATTGTTACAATGGGTCAACCTGTATTCCTATTTAAGCATTCCCCTCCCCAAATTAGAAAAGTCTGTATAGAAGATGCAAGGTACCAGAATCAAATACAGTGAAAACAGGGGTCTTACTCTAGTCTTTAAAGTGGTTATTTACTGAAGTTCTTGTAAGGTCTTGTAAGTTCTTGTAAGGTCTTCCCTTGAGGTCTTTATACTCACGATCTCTTCTGCCTGGACTATTTTTCCTATCTTTTTTTCCCTCAACTTACTGGAGTTCATTTCTATAGATATTACATAATTAGGTGCACATAGGCATTGTGTTTTGCTGTCTTTACTTTTGACCTAAGCAACTCTAACCTATCCTTCAGATCTTAGCTTATACATTACTTTTTCTAAGCAGTCTTACCTAATTTCAACAAAAATATTTTCATAAATATACTGAATCATATTGTAAATTGCAATGAGTAATACTTTATGCAGTAGATTGAGAAACTGTCATGATTTAATACATTGTAGGCCTTGGTTTCCACTGGAATAATATTTGTTTTATATTCTACAGATATTAAGAATGCCCGAGAAGGTACTAGGAGTCCAAGAACAGCTCATGATATCAGTTTAAAAAGAAGCTATGAGTCAGTGGAAGGAAATATAAAACAAGGGATATCATTGAGGGAGTCTCCTGTATCAGCACAATTAGAGGGTAAAGTATTGTTTCCAAAATACTGCATAGATACAATCAATTTTGTATGGCCAGTTTGCTATAATATGTTCTATCTCCATCATTTCTGTTTGAAATTTGTATTAATAGGATTATAAATTTACAAATAAAAGTCAGGTGGTGCATAATAGTAGAGGGAAGTAAAACTTGATTGTAGTTAATCATAGCAGGTTACTGTTTCAAATGCTTATATTTGGATGCTTATACCTTTTGTAGATTATCTTTGCTTCTGTCCGTTTTTTAATGTAAATTTTGTTTTGAAAATTTGTTTTTCTAAATTATGAGATAGATAATGTGATGCATAGTATATAGATCAAAGATATAAATGGGAGAAGAGGGAAGTAGGAGGGTGAGGAGGGGAAAAACTAACACCTTTCTTGGTAGATTTCTCTGAGCTTCTTTCTTTCACTGGAAATTAAGGGACTGTGCTCATTAATTGTGTGAGGAGCAGAGATTCTTATCATGTGATACAAGTTCAATAAGTGATCACTAGTGTTTGTTTTCGTTAGTGACAAATCTTTAAATCTTACTAGCCTCAACTAATCTTAATCTAGGCGAAATGGTAAAAATAAACTTAGGTTCTTGGTAGATATTTTTTTGGTTGTTTTTTGTGCCAGTACTGGGGCTTGAACTCAGGGCCTGGGTGTTATCCCTGAACTTCTTTGTCCAAGGCTAGTATTCTACCACTTCAAACACAGTTCTAATCTTGGCTTTTTGGTGGTTACTTGGAGATAAGAACCTCACAGACTAGCAGGCACCAGTGATTCATGCCTATAATTCTTGCTACTCAGGGCGATGAGATCTGAAGATCTCGTTTTGAAGCCAGCCTTGGCAGGAAAGACAAGAGACTTTTATCTACAATTAACCACCAAAAAGCCAAGATTAGAACTGTGTTTGAAGTGGCAGAATGTTAGCCTTGGACAAAGAAGTTCAGGGATAACACCCAGGCCCTGAGTTCAAGCCCCAGGACCAGCACAAAAGAGAGAAAGAAGGGGAAGGAGAGAGACGGACGGATGGACCGGGGAGGAGGGGAGAGAGCCTCTCACATACTTTTCTGCCTAGACTAGACTGACTTTCAACTGTTATCTTCAGATCTTAGCCCCCTGTGTAGCTAGGATTACCTGTGTGAGCCACCACTGCCTAGGTATGTCATTTTCTGAGCTAGATTGCACCCATTCCCACTTCTGCTCCCACTTCCGTCCTCTGTTTAAAAAATAATTCATTTATTTTTCTTTAGGGTCAATGTGTACGGTTATTTCCAACCTCTGATTCATATTTATCAGTAAGAGGTTATATATAAATCTTAAAGGGGGCTAGATTTAGTTTTGAAAATATTTTGTTTTTATGTTTTTCTTCCTGTAGGATTGGGTCCTAGACTTCCAGCATAGCATGTTAGGGAAATGATCTACCACTGGAGCCATATTCCTAGCTCTCTCTTTTCTGTTTTGACCTGTAATTTGCTAACTTTAGTGACCATTTTATGTTTACAAAAGGGTTTACAAAGAACATTTTTTTTCTTGTTTTGGGGGTACTGGACCACACATATGATTCTGTTTTTGTTATTTATTTTTTGTTGGTCATGGGGGCTTGAACTCTGGGCCTGGATACTGTCCCTGAGCTCTTAAGCTCAAGGAGAGCACTCTACCACTTGAGCCACAGCGCCACTTCCAGTTTTCTGGTGGTTAACTGGGGGTAAGAGTTGCACGGACTTTCCTGCCTGGGCTGGCTTTGAACTGGGATCTTCAGATCTCAACCTCCTGACTAGCTAGGATTACAGGCGTGAGCCACCGGCTCACAGCTGCTTTTGTTATTTTTTGACTATGATCTTTTTGCCTGAGTTATTCTGGACTACAATACTTCTGTTTACATTTCACCTTGTAGCTGAGGTAACAGGTCTTTGCCACATAACCAGCTTTTTATTGGTTGAGGTGGAGTCTCTTGGATTTTTCTGCTTAGGCTGGCTTTAATACATGATATTCTTGATCTCTGCCTCCTGAGTATGAGCCACTGTACTAAGCTTTCTAAAGAACATTTGATATGATGTCACATTAGGTATTTCTGGCTTTTGTTTTTTTCCATTGTATTGCCCTGGGTAGTTTAGAAACTTAACATGCCATCTCTTCCTCTATAGAGCTTTTATCAAAAATGCATACTTTATAGACAATATTAAGTATATATCACTGTTGTAAACATTATGTTCAAAAATTGATTTTTTTCCCCTTGTTCTGAAAGGGCTGATATGTCGAGCATTACCCAGAGGGAGCCCTCACTCTGACCTCAAAGAAAGAACAGTACTGTCTGGCTCCATAATGCAAGGTAAAGTTTTTGCTTATTTTGCCTTTTTATTTATAACTGACAAAGTAATTTGACATACATTTTGCAAGTATGAAACGTGTTTTTCAAGTTTTTTTCCCCTCTTGACATACAGTGAATATTAAGTATTATTTTAATTATAATCTATCTCTTAGCTACATAGTTTATTGGAAGGTATTTGCACAGTCTTTTAGCATGGAGACATCTCATTATGTAACAGCCATTGTTTGACTGTGATGATTCATATATTTTAGATAACTCTAAAAAATAACTGAGGAATACTTACTTCAATCTCTTTTCTGAAAATAGATAAACTGCAAGATGGCAAGGCCTTAATTTTTAAAATTACTACAAAACACAACAATTGAAACTGAATATTTTAGCCACTTTTAACTTTTTTTGGGGGGGAGTGTCCAGTCATGGGGCTTGAACTCTGAGCCTGGGTGCTGTCCGTCAGCTCTTCAGCTCAAGGCTAGCGCTGTACTTCTTGAGCCACAGCGTCACTTCCAGCTTTTTTCTTTTTGCTTATGTGGTGCTGAGGAATCGAACCTAGGGCCTCATGTAATGCAAGGCAAGCACTCTACCACTAAGCCACCTTCCCAGCCCTTTTAACTATTTTTGTTAGTTAATAGGTAAATATATTGTTGTATACTTATCAGCCACTGTTTTAATACACATATACTTCTTTTGAAGGTACACCTAGAGCAACTCCTGAAAGCTATGAAGATGGCCTTAAATATCCCAAACAGATTAAAAGAGAAAGTCCTCCTATTCGAACATTCGAAGGTGCCATTACCAAAGGAAAACCATATGATGGCATCACTACCATCAAAGAAATGGGGCGTTCTATTCATGAAATTCCACGGCAAGATGTTTTATCTCAGGAAAGCCGAAAAACTCCAGAAGTAGTCCAGAGCACAAGGCCAATAATTGAAGGTTCCATTTCCCAGGTAACTAGATCAATAATCTTACTATTAGATTGACATTTAGGAAACATTTTTTAAAAATTTCTTAATTGAGATTAAGTGATTACATAAATTTTACTGTATTATGGGATAGTGATACTTAGCTAAAGTCATAAACATATTTTAACCTTCACAAGACAAATGGTCATTATCATGATCTATAAAACTTGTGAACTCTACAGACTTTGACAGTGCAACTATTTCTTCCAAACTGGGTGATATGTATGTTTCTTTCCTTTTGCTTAGTGCAAGCTGTTCCCTTTCTCTCTCATTTCCTCCTTCCCATGGCTGCCCTTGAGTTGCTTAGTCCACTTTCATTTTTAACATGTAGGGCTAGTGGAGTGGTAGGGAACCTGCCTAACAAATGCAAAAACTCTTTAAGTTTTACCCCAGTGATGTAAAACAAAAAATCATGACTTAATAGTTCAATATTCTTATGTCAGGCCAGTAGGAAGTAAGTGTGACAGTTGTACATATTCCTCATCAGTTTTTCTTGTAATTTGCTTATCTTGTATCATGTAGTAAAGTATGCAAAGTCTGTGGATTGGAATTGAGATGTCAGTGGAGACATAAAGGTCACCATAGAAAACTAACTGTTATGAACTAGATGTATACCCAAGATGGAGTAACATCCACAGGGTGTGGCCACCTATAATACTTGCTTTTTTTTTTCCTTTAGGGCACACCAGTAAAGTTTGACAGCAACTCAGGTCAATCTGCCATCAAACACAATGTCAAATCTTTGATCACGGGGCCTAGCAAACTACCCCGTGGAATGCCTCCACTGGAAATTGTACCAGAGAACATAAAAGTAGTAGAACGAGGAAAATATGAGGATGCGAAAGCAAGTGAACCAGTACGATCCCGACACATGTCGGTGGTGAGCTCTGGCCCCTCTGTTCTCAGGTCTACACTTCATGAAGCTCCCAAAGCACAGCTGAGCCCAGGGATTTATGATGACTCCAGTGCTCGCAGGACTCCTGTGAGTTATCAAAGTACCATGTCCAGAGGCTCACCCATGATGAACAGAGCCTCCGAGGGTATGTTACGTTTGTTGCCTGGTGTGAACATTTTTTTTCTGCAGTTTTTTACCTCTGGCAAATCAGAAATATATTGCTAGCTTTAGAGTATCTTAGAATCTGTACATTGTATAATTGGGGCCATAGAAGCTACCAGTATAAAAATTTCACTCAAAGTACCTACTATTTTAGTCAAATGCAGATAGAAATGTTTACAGTATGTATCTATTTTGAGTGAATTTTTTAGCCCATTATGTAAGATTTCATTTTATTATTTTTTTCCAGTCCTGGGGCTTGAACTCAGGGCTTGGGTGCTGTCCCTGAGCTGCTTTGGCTCAAGGCTAGTGCTCTACTACTTGAACCACAGCGATACTTCTGGCTTTTTCTGTGTATGTGGTACTGAGGAATTGAATCCAGGGCTTCATGCATGTGAGGCAAGTACTCTACCACTGGGCCACATTCCCAGTCCTGTAACATTTTTTTTATTTTTATTTTTTGCCAATCAGGGGGCTTGAACTCTGGGCCTACTGTCCCTGGGCTCCTTTTTGCTCAAGTCTAGCACTCTACCACTTGAGCCACTGTACCACTTCTGGCTTTTTCTATGATTTATTGGAGATAAGAGTCTTACAGACTTTGCTGCCCAGGCTGGCTTTGAACCATGATCCTCAGATCTCAGCCTCCTAAGCAGTTAGAAATACAGGTGTGAGCCACCAGCACCTGGCTATAAGATGTTTTGTTTTTGCATTGTTTTGAGCTGGTATTGTGGTCTAAACTCAGGGCCTCACATTCTTGCTTGGCTACTTGCTTAAAAGGCTGGAGAAGTACCATTTGAGCCATGCCTCCACACTGTACTTTTTTATGTGTATATGTCTTTTCTTTTTTGGTACTGGGGATCAAACTCAGGACATTGCACTTGCTAGGCAAATGCTTTACCATTGAGCTACATTCCAGCTCTACACTGGATTTTTGTTTACTAGTTAGAGATAGAGTTGAGAAGACTTTTCTACCTGGGCTGGCTTTGAGCCATGTTCCTCAAATCTTAGCCTCCCTGACAAGCTAGGATTATAGGTATAAGCCTCTGGCACCTGGCTCAAATAGGATGTTTTAAAAGTCAGTTTTAGCTGTTGTTCCTCCAGAAGTGGTGTGTAGTGTGATGTGGTTTAAAGTTAGTGTCTAAAACAAGACTGATGAAGCTTAAATAAAGATTCTTACTGTGTTAAACATAGACAAATTACTTTTCTGAATTAGTTTCCTCATCTTAAATATCAAGACCTGCCTGCATTACTTTTTGGAAATTAAATGAGCTAGTCCACTAGCCAGGTGTGGTGATACATGGAAGGCTGAAACTGGAGAATCACAAGTTCAAGACCAGCCTGGGCTGCTGTAGTGAGACATTTGTCAAAAAAAAAATACATTTTATATATATATATATATATATATATATATATATATATATATATATGTATTTTCTTTTTAAAAAAGAGGTGTAGTACATCTATAAATGAACTCACAGTAAAGCCTCATGTACACTAATGACCCAATAAATTTTCTTATCATCATAAGCTCGTGCTGTTGCACCAAGGTAAGAGGGGTAATTTTTTAAATACTTGATCAAAAGCCATTAAAAATACATTACATCTTAAAATTTTCTTCTGTTTTTGTACCAGTCTTGGGACTTGAGATCAGGGCCCAGGCACTGTCTCAGAGCTAAAGGCTAGTACTCTACCATTTGAGTCACAGCCCCATTTCCAATGCGTATGGTAGTTTATTGGAGATAGGAGTCTTAAGGACTTTCCTGCTTGGCTGGCTTTGACTTGTGATCTCAGATCTCAGCCTCCTGAGTAGCTAAGATTACAGGCATGGACCACCAACACCCAGCTTTAACATTTGCTTTTTTTTTGTGGCCTCATAGGTGAGCCCCTAGGTTGGGTTTAGAGTTATAAAAATGTAGAATGGAGAGAGAATTAGCAGGTGTGTATAGGGAAGAATATTTCTTGATTTGGTTATAGGTAGAATATGAATTAAAACATTGCTCTATTTTATTTTATTTTTTGCTGGTTCTGGGGTTTGAACTCAGTATATCAGCACTGTCCCTGAGCTTCTTTTGCGTAAGGTGAGTGCTCTACCACTTAAGCCACAGCCCCACATCCAGCTTTTTTTGAGTAGTTCATTGGAGATAAGAGTCTCATGGACTTTCCTGCCCAGACTGGCTTTGAATTGCAGTCCTCAGATCTCACCCTCTTGAGTAGCTAGGATTATAGGCGTGAGCCACCAGCACCTGGCTCTTGCTCTATTTTAGAAGAAGTTCCAGGTATAAGTAAAAGACAACCACAGTTGAGGAAGTTGGACTTGGAAATCAGTGTGTTTTGTTTTAATAGGTTTGGTCATGCCCAGGTTTTTACTATCAAATTTTAGTATAAAGATGGTGATGATGGTTGCACAACACCATGTTTATATTCTTTTGACTATAAATGGCTGAATAAAATGGCCGAGGTGCCCTGGGTTTGAACACCAGCACCAAAACAAATTGATAAAAACTCAGAACAATGTGGCTAAAGTGGTCCATTTTATTTATATTTTGTCAGTCGTGGGGCTTGAACTCTGGGCTTGGGTACTGGCCCTGCTCTCTTCAGCTCAAGGCAAGCGCTCTACCCCTTGAGCCACTGTGCCACTTCCAGTTTTCTAGTGGTTTATTGAAGATAAGTGTCTCACAGACTTTCCTGCCTGGGCTGGCTTTGAACTGTGATCCTCAGATCTCAGCCTCTTAAGTAGCTAGGATTACGGGTGTGAGCCATTGGTGCCCAGCAAAGCGTTCCATTTTATATAATATATATATTTACTGTAGTGTGATTGACTACCATGATTTAAAAGGAGACTGGAATAAGGAAAGGAATGGGTGTTGTTGGTAAAGTACTGAGAAAGTTACTCTATTAGAGTAGAGCACTGGAAAATAAAAACAAATTTTCATGATTAGCCGATAGTAAAGAGTTTGGTAATACAGAGAGGACTTTGGTTATGGATTTTCTTAAATCAGAGATTTGAACTCAGGGCCTTACACTTACTAAGCAGTAACTCAACCACTTGAGCCACTCTGCTAGCACGACATGAATTTGAGATTTGCCACATCATAAAGTCAAAAGAATTTAGAACGTTAATGGATACAGAAAATAAAATCATATTGGGATCTAGTAATGTTCATAGAGGGGATCATAATCCTCTCTAGGAGTGTTTCACTTCATTAATATCATAATCTTAATTTAAGGTGGTACAGTAGTACTAGTGATATGTTCTGAAAGGTAGCAGTCTTCTTCAATTTCTTGTTTTCACATTTGCATATTTTATAGGGTTGAATGTAAAATTTGTGGGCAAAGGGAAGATCAAAATATTGTATGAATATATTCTGTATTTGAATGATTGGGGAATGCAAATTATCTTAAGAATTTATGGCATTGCTTCTCTCCCCCCCTTCTCCCCCCCCCCCCCAGTTACAATTTCTTCTAGCAAGTCTACCAATCATGAAAGGAAGTCAACACTTACCCCAACCCAAAGGGACAGCATACCAGCCAAGTCTCCAGTGCCTGGAGTGGATCCTGTTGTGAGCCACAGCCCATTTGATCCCCATCATAGAGGCAGTGCTGCAGGGGAGGTTTATCGGAGTCACCTTCCCACGCACTTGGATCCAGCCATGCCCTTTCATAGAGCTCTTGATCCTGGTAAGCATGACCGTAGTGACAATCTCATGGGAAAGAATTAACATGCATCTATGACTTTTTAAACTTCCTTTTATGGTACTGGTATGAAGATAATTGCTTATAGCATTAATGCATAACTCAGTGAATTTTTGTAAGCTGCACTCCATGTTGCTACCACCCAAATGAAGCAGCAAAGCTATCACCTTTTTTTTAAGCTTTCACCTTTTAAAGAACTAAAAAAATAAGCATCTAAAAAGCTATATAGGTGACAGTTTGTGAAGCTGATTAAAAAATGAGTTAATATGAAGATTTTCTTTGAAATGACAGAAACACATTAAATACTGTACGTAAATTTACAATATAGACTTTCTTCTGGTTGAAGGCTATAGCCATTTTTAGACTGTTTGGTGGTTAAACTTCACCATTGTCTTCCTAACACAAAAGAAGCTAACATTTTCAGACTTAGTTCTTTTCTTTTTGTTATTTTTAAGTGAAATTAAAATTTCAAGATAATTATAACCCAAAAAGGATTTTTGGGCATTTTTTTCCCTAGTGTTTTCCACAATTGATTCACTTTCATTTTCACTATTTCCAATATTGTTTTATTTGTTTATGTATTTGGCCAGTCCTGGAGCTTGAACTCAGGGCTTGGGTGCTGTTCATGACTCTTTGTGCTCAAGGCTACCATTCTACCACTTGTGCTTTGTGGCTTTTTTTTTCTTAGTAGTTTATTGGTAATAAGAGTCTCATAGACTTTCCTGCCTGGACTGGCTTTGAACTATCATCCTCAGTTCTCAACTTCCCAAGTAGCTAGGAATACTGGTGTGAGCCATATAATTCAGTAACAAGCACAGCTAAAAGAAACTTGTGTGTATATATCACTGACACTGACTTCTGGCAGGTGCAAAATTATGCATCTACTAATGTCTAATAAGTGATCAGTGTGATGAGCCCTATTTTATAGAGTAAGGGGAGAGGAGCTGTCACATTACAAGTAGGAACATAGCCTCTGCTAAGCTCTCAGAATCCTTGGCACAAATGGCTTCCCCTGTCCTCCCAGGACCTGGTTCTTGTTCTTCTTTGCTGCTACCAGCTTAGCCTCATATAGGTGTGTGCACTCAGATTCTTTTCTGGCCTAAATTAATGTGCTACAGGCTTTAAGTTGAAATTATGCTTAAGTTGAAGTTGTACTTACCTTGGTTGTTAGAGAAATATTTTTCATTAAAATAGTTTAAAAGCTAAGGATCCTAAGAGTTATTTACATATCATATGAACACAGAATTTGTAGAAAACAATACATTTGAAACTTCTACCAGTACTATCAGATCATTTGTCACTGGATCCCAAACCTAGTTTAACAGTTACAAACCAATTAAGTTGGTTTGTTCCACATACAATTTATCAACTTTAGCAATGGTGTACAGGTTTTCAGCTTTAACAATGAAAGTGGTGGTGTTCAGTAGAAACTATATTTCAGGTTGTGAATTTGGGTCTTTGCCAGGGCTACTAACATGTGGATACTGTCTTCTTCCTTGTTGCTAGGTGACAGCAGTGAGCCACAGCTTATATTATCCTGAGAGCAAACAGCACATAATTGTGCCATGTTGCTAAGCTAGGATTCAGTAGCATGGGTGCATTAAATGCATTCTCAGCTTCTGATACTTTCAAATACAGTGGGTTTATTCAGACAAAACCCCATCATCAGGGGAAAGAGCAGTGTACTGGAGACTCTCCCAAGTCTGAGGTGGACAGTCAGCTGACAGACTTAACCTGGCTTGGAGATCTGAATAAACATGTACCAGAAAATATATCAGTGGGTTTTTTTTGTTGTTGTTTGCTTTTTAGTAGGGAAATACACATATAAAATAGTTCAGTTTCTCAGACAAAATTGTATATAATTTCTATTGTCTCTCCTAGTCCTGTAGTTTGTACAGTTTTATTTGTCATATGTATGCCTGAGCTGTATGTATTGAAAATAGAGCTATTACCCTCTACTTTTTACTGTCATGTGTCTGTACCATCATGCAACCAAGAGAATCGCTTGTAACCCAAATCTTCTAATTTCTGTGAAGAAAATTTTTATTAGATCCAGGTATACTGTTATATGCCTAGAGCCTCAGCCACTTGTGAGACAAGAGATAGAAGGATTATAGTTAATGAGACCTTAGTTCAGGAAAAAAAAAAAAAAAACCAACAACTAGGTATGATGGTATGTATTTAAAATCTTTGCTACTCAGGAGGCAGAGGTAAGGGAATCTATGATCAAGGCCTGCCCTGGGCAAAAATTCAAGACCACATCTAAAAAACACACTAAGAAGTAATAGAGGGTAACGATCATGGTTCGGGTGGTAGAGCGTTTGCCTAAGTTCAGAGTTCAACCATACCCATTTATTATAATTTATTGTCGCTGTTTCTGTGCTACAGTGATAAAATTGAGTAGGTATGTCAGGTATTGTATGACTCAGTATTGCCAAAATGCTTATCATCTGACTGATTCAAAGATGTGCTTATAAACTAAAAAATACTTGTAGAATAATGATTTTTATCATTAAGAAAGTAAAATTGCTATTTCACGAAGTGTTTCCACAAATATTTCCATTTGATTATATTGGTAATGAGTACTAAACAATAATTTTATTTTCAAACATATTTTCACTGGATACTTCCAGTGAAAGCCTAATCAAGTTTCATGCCAGAGTTTAAAAGTGAAACTACTTGTGAAATTTTCAGCTACTATTCTTCTTTCCCATTATATAAGAGTCATAATAAATTAAAATTATATGAATTATTATATATACTATATTACTTATATATAATACACATATAAGTTATATATACAATTGTATACAATATATATTATAATGAATTAAAATTCATTGCTGGGTGCTGGTAGCTTATACCTGAAGTCCAAGCTGTCTTAGAGTCTGAGGACAGGAGGACTGTGGTTCAAGATCTGCTCTGGCAAAAAGTTCAAAACACCATGTCTCACAAATAACCAGAAAAAAAAAAATCAGGGCTTAGAGGTTGGCTCAAATGGTAGAGTACCAATCTAATAAGCACAGGATCCTGAGTTCAAACCATAGTGCTGCAAAGCAAACATAAAAACATGTTACTGATGTACCACGGCCTAAAATGAGGCTACCGTATTCTCTGGAGCCAAGTATACACTGTGTTAACAGATATTTTTCCTCTCATTATAGGTGATGTTTAGCGAGTATACTTTATCCAGGTCAAAACTCAATGCTTTTCTCTTCTTTCACTCAGCTGCTGCTGCTTACCTATTTCAGAGACAGCTTTCACCAACTCCAGGCTACCCAAGTCAGTACCAGCTTTATGCTATGGAGAACACAAGACAGACAATCCTAAATGATTACATTACCTCACAACAGATGCAAGTGAACTTGCGCCCTGATGTAGCCAGAGGACTTTCCCCACGAGAACAGCCCCTGGGTCTCCCATACCCACCAACAAGAGGTATGTGTCTTTACAGGTTAGATTTTAAAAAATTCATTACATTTACCTTGTAATAAATATTTGTCCAGTGAATGCTGGAAAGATAACAAAGATTTGTATCCTTCTCTGGAGGCTTTAGCTCTTGAAAGCAAACAAAGTAAAATATTAAGATTTTTGGTGAACATTAAGCCAAGTCCTCATGCAAAGTCTTTGAAAGACATTTTTCACCAATTTCCTCTCTTCAGCTAATCTCTCCATACCTTAAGGTTAGTGATAGCGAATTCAGGATTTAATAATCTTTCTCTTTTTAAAGGTTTTAAAAAGTAATGATGATCAGGCACCAGTGGCTCATGCCTGTAATCCTAGCTACTCACTAAGCTGAGATCTGAGGATTGCAGTTCAAAGACAGCCTGGGCAGGAAAAGCCATGAAACTCTTAGCTCCAATAAACCACCAGAAAAACCAGAAGTGGTGCTGTGGATCAAGTGGCAGAGTGCTAGCCTTGAGTTGAAGTGCTCAGGGACAGTGCTCAGACCCAGAGTTCAAGCTGACCAAAAAAAAAAAGTAATAAGTAATGAGTTTAAGCATTTTCATTTTATATTGTGTATAAATTATTTTGGATTCTTGAGATAGACAAAAATCCAAAAACTACGTATAGTTCTGAAACTTTACAGTAATGCTAAACACAAAATGTATTTGTCTTTTGGATAGGAATCATTGACCTGACCAATATGCCTCCAACAATTTTAGTGCCTCATCCAGGGGGAACAAGCACTCCTCCCATGGACAGAATTACTTATATTCCTGGTACACAGATTACTTTCCCACCACGGCCATACAACTCTGCTTCAATGTCTCCAGGTAAGATGCTGCAGTGCCTCTCCCTTCTAACAAGACCAATGTGCTCTGTTTGAGGCACAGCCTTCTAAGACATTTTATGCAGACTTTTTCAATAATCTTATCAAGAGTTCCTAGGTGTCATTTGTTACTAGGTACTTTAAACCCTGAAAGCTTATGTTGCCATCAGTTTTTATCTAAGACTCTTCAGTAAAACTTCCTGTATCCCAAATTTTGATTTAAAAAAAAAAATCAAGCTGAGCGCCGGTGACTTATGCCTGTAATCCTAGCTACTCAGGAGACTGAGATCTGAGGATTATGGTTCAAAGCCAGCCCAGGCAGGAAAGTCCATGAGATTCTTTTTTTTTTTTTTTTTTGGTCCGGTCGTGGGGCCTGAACTCTAGGCCTGGGCGCTGCCCCTCAGCTCTTCAGCTCAAGGCTAGCGCTCTATCCTTGAGCCACAGCGCCACTTCCGGGTTTTTTCTTTTTGCTTATGTGGTGCTGAGGAATTGAATCCAGGGCCTCATGCATGCAAGGCAAGCGCTCTACCACTGAGCCACCTTCCCAGCCCCAGTCCATGAGATTCTTATCTTAATAAACCATTCAGAAACCTAGAAGTGGTGCTGTGACTCAAGTGGTAGAGGGCTTACCTTGAGATGAAGAGCTGAGGGATAATGCCCAGGCCTAGAGTTCAAGCTCCATGACCAACTCCCTCCCTCCCCCCGCCCCCCAAAAAGAAAAATTCATGCTGGGTGCCAGTGGCTCACATCTGTAATCTTAGCTATTCAAAATGTTGAGATCAGTTCAAAGCTAGTCCAGGCAGGAAAGTCCATGAGATTCAATCTTCCATTAACAACCAAAACAACTAGAAACTCAGGGACAGTGCCCAGGCCCTGAGGTCTAGCTCTAGGACCAGTACCAAAAAAATATTCAGCCAGATGTTCAGAAATTTTTGTCATTGACTCATGTGTTTTACAGGACACCCAACACACCTTGCAGCAGCTGCAAGTGTTGAGAGGGAGCGAGAGCGAGAAAGAGAAAGGGAAAGGGAGAAGGAGCGAGAAAGGGAGCGGGAACGGATTGCAACTTCTTCTGACCTTTACCTGCGGCCAAGTAAGTGAGAAGGGTCTACTTCCTCCTGTTGACAGGTCTTGGTAACCTGGGTGAGACTTTGTGCTTAATGCAGTGGGAGCAGACACCTGTTCTATGTCTCAAAGTCATTGTAGGTTTCAGATGAAAATAAGATGAAAGTTCTGTAGAAGTCGGGATAATTTTCTCTGACAAAGGGATCTTTGGCCCTCAAAGAATAAATGCATGCTAAAAACTGCCTGCTCTTACGAGGGCAAAGAGCAAGGTAGAAAGTTAGAGTGAGGGCATAGAACAAGAGAAAGCAAAAAAGAGGGGAGGATTAAAGTGAACAAAAATGTTTCCGGTCTTGTAGCGTATGTCTTATTTCACAATAGAAAGTTTGCTGACAGAAGCAGTTATCTGTGAAGGACAGTGAAGAAGTCAAGTAAACCTTACTACTGTCACAATCTGTTTTCATTCTGATGCTCGAAAAGCACACACTTTGAATCTGGGAATCATGAACACACCAGACTTTGAGGAAACATCTGAAGGACAATAATTTGTATTAGTACTCCACTGTTGGTGCTGTTACTGATGCTCTGCACTCTCTGTTAAAGCTCATTGCAAGAGTGGAAGTGATTAAATAAACGATAGTTGTTTCAAATTGCTAGTGGGGTTTTTTGAGTTTAGAAAGGCCAGAAATTAGGCTATTTAAGTTTCTTGTCTCATTTTTCTTTTGTATTTAAGAATCCTAGAAAACTGATAACTCACAGATATGACTACCTTTTCTCTCTAGCTTATTCTTATGCTTTATCTTTCTTCCTTTTTGTTTTTTTGCCCTTTCAGGCACAGAACAGCCAGGCCGGCCTGGCAGTCATGGATATGTCCGCTCCCCCTCCCCTTCAGTAAGAACTCAGGAGACGGTGTTACAGCAAAGACCCAGCGTTTTCCAGGGAACCAATGGAACCAGTGTAATCACTCCTTTGGATCCAACTGCTCAGCTACGGATCATGTCAGTTTCTCATGTGTATTCTGACCAGAACAACTAGCCATCTCTAAAACTTAGTGTAATGGTATTAAGTATAACTTAGATGTTAAGGCCATTTTATTTTATTGCAATTTTTCCTTCCACCTCCCTACCACACTTCCCTGCTTCCCTCAGAAAATGTTCTCTCCTTCACAGAACTGTGATTTGGTTTTATTTTACAGGCCACTGCCTGCTGGAGGCCCTTCAATAAGTCAAGGCCTGCCAGCTTCCCGTTACAACACTGCTGCGGATGCCCTGGCTGCTCTTGTGGATGCTGCAGCTTCTGCACCCCAGATGGATGTTTCCAAAACAAAAGAGAGTAAGCATGAAGCTGCCAGGTTAGAAGAAAATTTGAGAAGCAGGTCAGCAGCAGTTAGTGAACAGCAGCAGCTAGAGCAGAAAACCCTGGAGGTGGAGAAGAGATCTGTTCAGTGTCTGTACACTGCTTCAGCCTTTCCAAGTGGCAAGCCCCAGCCTCACGCCTCAGTAGTGTACTCTGAGGCTGGGAAAGATAAAGGGCCTCCTCCAAAATCCAGATATGAGGAAGAGCTAAGGACCCGAGGGAAGACTACCATTACTGCAGCTAACTTCATAGACGTGATCATCACCCGGCAAATTGCCTCGGACAAGGATGCAAGGGAACGTGGCTCTCAAAGTTCAGACTCTTCTAGTAGCTGTATGTATCTCAATCTGAGTTTCACAATGTGGTATCTGAGTAAAGAATTACTTTATTCTTTAGGTAAAGCATAACTATATGGTATAGGAAATCCTAATGCTTGACAATAAATGTAAGAGAAAAGCTTTTATGGGTAGTGTGAAAATGTATCTTCTACTTTTCTGATTTAAAAATTCCTGTTTCCATCTGGGTGCTGGCTGTATATACCTGTAATCCTAGCTACTCAGGAGGCTGAGAATCATAGTTCAAAATCATCAGGAAAATCTGTTGAGACTCTTATCTGCAATTAACCACCAGAAAATCAGAAGTAGAGCTGTGTGTTCAAAGTTGTAGAGCACTGGTTTTGAGCAAAATGGCTCAGGGACAGCACCCAGATTGTGAGTTCAAGCCTCAGGACCTGCACCAAGAAAAAAAACACCCCTATTTCCTAAAAATAAGCCTATCAGAAGAAAACTATATCTTTTATAGAACTTGTAGTTGGAACATGGACAGATAAGAGGGCAGAGCTTCTTAACGTGTGTACACCTCTGAAAGTAGTAGGTGTGTTGAGAGGCTCCTTGCTACTAGTGTGTAATTTCTCAGAAATTGTTTGCTAGAACATGGTTTACTTAGGCTAATTAATTCTTCAAGGCTTCTATGTCTTTTCCCTAATATACTGGTACTTAAAATGAGGCTTGTGGGCTGGAAATGTAGCTTAATGGTAAGAGTGCTTGCCTAGCATGCAGAAGTCCTGTATTCAGTTCTTCAGAACCACATAAACAGAAAAAGCCAGAAGTAGTGCTGTGGCTCAAGTGGTAGAACTGTATGTAGCCTTGAGCAAAAAAAGGTCAGGTACAGTGCCCAGGCCCTGAGTTCAAGCCCCAGGAATGTCCTCCCCCCCCCCAAAAAAAAATAAGACTCTTAAAACAGTATAATGATATTTTTCATGTTTCTTGAAAATTCAATTTTGCTTTAATCTGATTACCATGATGTCTATCTAGCAAGTATATACTCACAAATCTGCACTAAAATTTTACTGAGAAAAGTTTCTCAAAAAAATTTCTTCTTTATATTGCCTAAATTCTAAAAGGATTTCTAGAAAAAACAAGGAGACATTTAAATAAGTAGTTGTTAATATTTGAAATAATTTAATCACAAGGTTATTGTTATCTCCATTGAAGAAACTGAGTGGCATTGTTGATAATGAGAAAGGAAGAAAAAAGATTACTTGTTTGTCAGAATGCAATGTGCAGGGTTTTTTCTGTTGTTTGGGTTGTTTCTGCCAGTACTGTGACTTGTTCTCAAATTCAGGGTGTTGTTTTGCTGGTAGTGAAGATAAGAGTCCACTGAATTTTCTGCCCAGACTGGCTTCAAAGTGCTACCCCTAGACCTCAGCACCTGGCTACATGCAGTTCTCCAAATATCCACTTGTCTAATTATAACTTATTGGGTACAGATCTTCTACATTGCTGAAGTGTTTGGTTAGTTTGGTAGTATAAATCTAGGGTTCGAATTCAGGGCCTTGTGCTTGCTCTCTACCACTTGAGCCATATTCGAGTACTATAACATAGGAGCGATAAAGATATGAAGAGCATCTTGGTATATAAGTTTATATAATGGGACAGCACCCAGGCTGCCTAGCTACAAGATTAAATGTTTCTTTTCAATCAGAATCTTGCTGTTTTTGGGGTTTTTTTTGTTATTGTTGTTTTTCATCATGTCTGACAATAGAAAGCCCAGTTTTTCCCTGGGTGTCCACGTTTCTGAGTGCAGGTTTTAATCTTCCCCATTTTGGTAACTGGGCAATGGCCTGCATAACTCCCCAAGATACTGACAGTTATGTAGTAGTATTATCAGAACCTCCAGACTCCAGAACCTCCATCATCTTGGAGATGCACTGTTATCACTTTGTATTCAAGAGTAACTGGAAAACAGTTCAAGATCAGACCTTTTTTGGGGGAGGCGGGGGGCGGGGGGAAGGGTGGGGGAAGATAGTCCTGGGTCTTGATCTCAGGCCTGGACACTATACTTGAGCTTTTGTGGTCAAGGCTAGTGCTCTTGATCCACAGTTTCATTTCTGACTTTTTGATAGTTAATTGGAGATAAGAGTCTCATGGACTTTCTTTCCCAGGTTTTGAACTGAGATCCTTAGATCTTAGCCTCCTGTATAGCTAGGATTACAGGTATGAACCACCAGCACTGGCCAGATCATACTTTTTATTGATAGAAGAATAATGTTAGTTGTGAGCACATTCAAAATGTTAGTTCACTAGCAATGATGAATAACAGTAAATAGAAAAATTGCACATTGGTATAATACAATATAGTGTCTGATATATTTTACTTTTCAATGACAACTTCAATTCCATTTATTAGGTTTTTCTTTTCCTGAACCGAGGTAATTATAATTTTTATGACCAGTTGTGTAACAGAGGAGTAGATGACAGCAGGGTGGTACACTTCATTTCACCCCCAGCCAGAGTGACATACCCTTTCCTCAGGCTATGTTGCAGCCTGTAGATGCATAGTCTTCTAGTATCAGAACATTTTTAAGTGAGAGATTACACATCTATCTCTCCTTAATTCTCAGCTCTGAGATCATGGCAGGTCTGTGAAAATCTGCCTCGGTCCCTTCTGCATAGCTCCTCAGCATCCTTATAAGCTTCATTTTAAAAGGGCCTTTGCTCTGTGTGGGCATCCTCTGGAATTAATATCCTCCATTTATACTTTGTTTACCATTTCTGCTTATATTCACAATGTAACATAGTGCTAAAACACTTATGTGGAATAATATACATTATTATAATACATAATATTACATTATATATTTTGTAAGATACAGCTTTTAGAAGTATCATGATACTGATAGGACTTTATAGCCTCAAAATTTTCCTAGGAAAGATTGTCCCACAGAAGTGGAATTAGTCAAATCAGTTAACTGTTGAGATCTCCCTCAGTTAATTCTTAATCTCCCCGATGAGTATTTTCTTGCTGTTTTCTAGGACAGTGTTGAACATCTTGGTATTCTTTCTTACCTCATTTTTTATTCTGGCCCTTAAAAAGATGTTAGAGCCCGTAAAATATCAGAAAATCCTATGCCCTACTGAGATTAGGAGCACAGAGGCACTTTTGTCTGTTGGCTCACTAAGTTTTATCTTTATCCTGGAATGCCATTGGATATTTCTGAGCAAAATTTTGAAAATAATATGAATATGAATTAGATTTGAAGAATTTGAACTTGTCATGGATTCATCTTAAAATAAAGTTCTTTTCTTAAAGTATCTTCTCACAGGTATGAAGCACCTAGTGATGCTATTGAGGTGATAAGTCCTGCCAGCTCCCCTGCACCACCCCAGGAAAAACTGCAGGCCTATCAGCCAGAGATTGTTAAGGCAAACCAACCAGAAAGTATGTTTTTATTAGTCACCGCTTAAGTGTTTTCAAATTTGTCATTTTGTCAAATTTTGTCATTTGTTTTAATTATCTGTGTAGACCATGTTAAAAAATAACTTGTTTGTTTCAAGGTGATCTGCTTCAGAACATTTAAAACTGCACTATCTAAAAGCAACTTTTAAGTTCTTGATTGATTACTCTTTTGCTTGTAATGATAAATAACTTTGTCCACTTTATACAAATTTTATTAGTCCTCAGACTTCTACTGGTGAATAAATATTTTGGTTTCAAAATTCAGAGATTCATATTACATCATTTTCTTGTGTTCTTCTGAATTATGTTTAATCTTCGATACTGAGTCCAAGACAGGGATAGCCTTAGAGTAAGATTTCCACTTGTTCTCCACTAGGTGACCCCACAAGACAATATGAAGGACCACTTCATCATTATCGGCCTCAGCAGGAGTCGCCGTCTCCACAGCAGCCACCGCCCCCGTCCTCCCAGGCAGAAGGGATCGGGCAAGTGCCCAGGACCCATCGACTGATCACGCTTGCCGATCACATCTGTGTAAGCCTTTTAGTATTCTGGTTATTGGTTTTTCTTAATCGTTTTTGCAAGTACTTAAATGAGTTTAAACACTCCCTTCTTTTTTTTCTCACAGCAAATTATCACACAAGACTTTGCTAGAAATCAAGTTTCCTCACAGCCTACACAGCAGCCTACCACTTCTACATTCCAAAATTCACCAACTGCTCTGGCATCAACACCTGTGAGGACTAAGTCAAGTCGATACAGCCCAGAGTCCCAGTCTCAGTCTGTTCTCCATCCAAGACCAGGTTCCAGAGTCTCTCCAGAAAACCTTGTGGACAAAGCCCGGGGAAGGTATACTCTTTATTATGAAACATATATAAATGTCACAATTGTAAATCAATTTGTATTTTTCTGTAAGATAGGGAAATAATTTCTTACACTGAAAAGTTTCCTTGCCTTTTTCCATGAAAAGTGTAAATTGTTTTCCCCCAACCCCATTATTCTTGGAATGTCTAGGCATTTGGTAGTGTGTGGATGTGTATATATGTAATAGGGCTTGAATTCAGTGCCTGGGTGCTGTCCCCTGAACTTCTGGTTTTGCTAGTGAGCCACATCTTTACTTCTGGTTTTTTGGTGGTTAATTGGAGTAAGTTTCATGGACTTGCTTGCCCAGGCTGGCTTTTAACCATGATCCTTAGATCTAGCCTCCTTTGTAGGTACAATTACAGGCACAAGCCACCTGTACCCAACTGATAGTGTATCTTTTTAGTCTGTAGTTAAAAGTTGGTTGTATTATTTGTTATGAAGTAGTAGTGTGTAGTTGAGGGATGTTTGAGTGCTCTTTCAAAATCATCTCTTTTAGTGGATTGTACTCCCATAATCCTAGTTCTCCAGAGACTGAGTTAGGAAGATGAGTTTTGAGGGTCAGCCTGGTCAATATTAAGTGCTAACCTTAAAAGGATTAGAGTACAGCTCAATGATACCACTCTTGTCTAACATGTGTAAGGCCTAGGTTCCATCTCACAATGTTTATCTTACCTTTCCACCCCACCCACCCTTTTTCCCTCTCCCTTTTCCTCTAGTAGGGCCTTATGCTTGCTGGGTAAGCACAGTTCCACTTAAACCATACCTCCAACCCCCATACTCAATGGTTTCTGTTGGATCAACAGTAATAGATGTTTTAGCAAGGAAACATTAAATAAAGGAAAATTAAGCTAATTAGATATATAGAAAATGTTGTCAGACTGTTATAAGAATTTTTTTTTGGTCAGTTGTGGGGCTTGAACTTGGAGCCTAGGCACTGTCCTAGAGTTCTTTTGCTCAAGGCTAGCACTCTACCACTTTGACACACGTGTTACTTCTGGTTTTCTGATGATTAATTGGCGATAAGAGTCTCATAGACTTTTTTGCCTGGGCTGGGTTTGAACCTCAATCCTCAACCTCCTGAGTGGCCAAATTACAGGCATGACCCACCAATGCCTGGCAAGAATGTATTTTGTTTCCATGCTTTTATTATTATAAAGTAGTTGTACAATGCGGTTCCAATTCTTATGAGTACAATGCTTGTTAGTCAATATCATCCTTTCCTTCTTCCCCTTCTCCACCTCTCCCTCCCTCAAGTGAAATACTTCATAATGTATGTTGAATATAATGACTATACTTGTTTACCCTCCCTCCCTCACTCCATTTATGTGTCCTCCTTCACCCCCCCCCCCAAAAAAAAAATGTTTCTGCTTCTTGGTTGTTCAAAGGAGTTATGCATTTGGATTCCTCCCCTAAGTATACCCTTCTCAGTCAGTTTGTGTAAAAACATTAAGCTCTGTATATGTCTTTATACATAGTTGTATTTTAGATCTGGCTTCCACATATAAAACATATTTTCTTAGTGTTCTATATGGATTTTGTTGTTGTTGTTGTTCGTCATGACGCTTGAACTCTGGGCCTGGGCGCTGTCCCTCAGCTCTTCAGCTCAAGGTGAGCGCTCTACTGCTTGAGCCACAGAGCCACTTCTGGTTTTTTAGTGGTTTATTGGAGCTAAGAGTCTCAAGGGAGTTTCCTGCCTGGGCTGGCTTTGAACTGTAATCTGTGGATCTCAGCATCCTGAGCCTCTGGCACCCTGCTCGATATGCATTCTTTAAAACAAATGAAGCAACATTTGAGACGTCCCTTTGGTTGGTATGTTCTGAGTGTTTTTTTTTTCTATGCCTTTGAATTTTGGTTCCTCTGCTTTATCTTCAACTCCTGATACCCTATTTTCAACTTCATTTGTTTTGTTGTCTACGCTTTCCACTGTGCTTTATAATAGGGAGATGGAGCCTTTCATGTTTTCAAGCTTTTTGTTAATGTCCACTCTCATGTCCTTTATTGAGGTTTTCATTGTGTCAAATCAGGGTTTGGGTTCAAAATGGTGAGTTAAATGTAAACACATGAAGTTATAGTTAAATAATACATAGGGAATTCACAACTATCCTGAGTACAAGAATGTGATAACAGAGGAAAGATTCTGGTGAATTCCTAGAAGATACTCAGGAGATGGGTAACTAGACCAGACAATTCAATGGCTCAGAATATTGTATAGAGAAATTTGTAGTAGAACTGATTCTTTGGCCTTCTTGCCAATTCCTCAAAGAAGGAAGAGTGAAAGGTCATTTTAGAAAGTACTTTATTGCATTAAGTTTTCAAGCATAAATAAAAGTAAAAAGAATAATACAAAACACTCCATAGATTCATCACTCAGTTTTGGTAATAATCGGTAAATGGCCAGCCTGGTTTTCATTTTTATTTTCCCTATCCTCAAACTGGATTATTTTGAAGTAAATTTTGCCATATAATCAGTTTTTCTATACTTGTAGAACAGATGTGAATGCTGCAAATCATAAAACAAAGGAAAAGGTAGACAGGGAGGATGTGTAAAAGATACATACTAATTCATTTAAATATAGTTGATGTGTGCTATGTCAAGTTAAAGTAGACAAACTTAAAATTAAAGTTGGGCAAAACATGGATAAGGTAATTTAAGCAAGTTATTTCTCATGGAAGAATTGATATTGTTTCAAGTTAAATAAAAACAAGGGGCTGGGAAGGTAGTTCAGTGGTAGAGTGCTTGCCTTGTATGCATGAGGCCCTGGGTTCGATTGCTCAGCACTACATAAGCAGAAATAGCTGGAAGTGGCCTTGTGGCTTAAGTGGTAGAGCTAGCCTTGAGCTGAAGAGCTGAGAGACAGCACCCAGGCCCAGAGTTTAGGCCCCATGACCAACAAAACAACAGCAGCCAAGAAAACAAAACAAAAAGCTGCAAGATAATTTAGAATTTCAAAAGCATACACTAAAGAACAACTGTCAAAAATGTAAGCTGTTTGGGATAGTAGGCATACTTATTATAATAAATGCAGATGTTGAAAGTCACAGGTAGCTCTTAACTCAAAAAACTTGTATATATACACTGTATTTATTGCTAGGAGAAACTTTCAATATCAGAGAACTTCTCAGCCCTAAGATGGCATAACCACAACTTGTCAATTCTCTGGGCAGCTTTATTTACCTTCCAGTTTAGCACTGAACTCCTTAACTGAAAGGGTAAATTAAGGACCTATTAAGGTGCAGCTCAAAATAGCAGTGAAGATTGTTGAGGACTTACCTAGACTCACTGGCTAAAAGGGTAATAAGATGGAGCCTGATGTACAGAAGACATACTAAACTGCTGTCCTTCCTGTTCCGTACTGAGTCCTTGCAGAAAACATTAGACACGGGGCTGGGAAGGTGGCTCAGTGGTAGAGTGCTTGCCTTGCATGCATAAGGCCCTGGGTTCGATTCCTCAGCACCAAATAAGCAGAAAAGGCTAGAAGTGGCACTGTGGCTCAAGTAGTAGAGTGCTAGCCTTGAGCAGAACAGCTAAGGGACAGTGCTTAGGCCCAGAGTTCAGGCCTATGACCGACAAAAAGAGAAAAAACATTAGATACTTGTTTCCTTTTCTGATAAGAAATTGGCACTTTTCTTCTCCTCCATTTAGCTTGTTTTACTTTGAGTTCTTTTTTTGTTTGATCTTGGAGCACAACCTAATCTTGTACATGTTCTACCAACAGGCCTGGAAAATCTCCAGAGAGGAGTCACATCTCATCAGAACCCTATGAGCCCATTTCTCCACCCCAGGTTCCAGTTGTTCATGAGAAGCAAGACAGCATGCTGCTCCTGTCACAGAGGGGAGTGGAGCCAGCAGAGCAGAGGTGAGAGGGCACATTTGCTCACGGTAGCTCCTGTTCAGGGCCTGGCTCAGTTAAGTTTTCATTACGTCAGTACCATTTTTCTTTTATGGCTTCTGTGTCTGGATGGAACTCTCAAATGATCATTTATTTTTTCTGGTGAATGAACGAAACTGGATTTTAGCAAAAGTAGCATAATATTTATATGTTTGTGAAAATCCATTTATTACAAAGTCCTTCTAGATCTTTATAATTCAACCTTTCTGAGCCTGATAATGGGAGGATTGTTGTTTGAGGCCAAGTCTGACAGAAAATTTGAGACCTCTTTAGCCCATAGCTAGGCAGTGTGGCCTATGCCTGTCATCCCAAGCTATATAGAAAGCTGAGCTTGGGAGGATGTTGGTGCCGTAACAGCCCAGCCAGAAGAGTCTGTAAGACTCTTTCTCCACAAAGGGAAGGTAGATGTGGTGGTACATGCTGATGATTACAGAAACAATGGGAAACCTAAATTAGTAGGTTGATTGTGTTTCAAGTACAAAGACTGTATCCTAAAAAATAAAAACTGAAAAGCAGAGCTATTGGATTAGTAAGCATTATCATGCTAGCTTAGTACACAGTGGCCTAAGTACAAACTCTAGTGCTGCCCATACAAAAGCCCAGATATGGGGTTGGGAAGGTGGCTCAATGGTAGAGTGCTTGCCTTGCATGCACGAGCCCTGGGTTCAATTCCTCAGCACCACATAAGCAGAAAAAGCTGGATGTGGTGCTGTGGCTCAAGTGGTAGAGCACTAGCCTTGAGCTGAAGAGCTGAGGGACAATGCCCAGGCCCAGAGTTTTGCCATGACTGGCAAAAAACAAAACAAAACAAAAAAAAGATTTTTTTTGGTCAGGGGAGTGTGGGGAATGTCACCCACTTATTCAGCCTACATTTGAGTGCCTATTGTTGTGAATTTTGCATGTGTGCCAGTGCTGAGGCTTGAACACAGGATTAGGTACTGTCTCTGAGCTTGTTTTCTCAAGGCTAGCGCTCTACCACTTGAGCCATGGTTCCACTTGCAGCTTTTTGGTGGTTAATTGGAAATGCAAGTGTCATCAGTTTGTATGCTTTGGCTGGCTTTGAGATCTCAGCTACCTGAGTGGCTAGGATTATACAGGTATGATACACCAGCACACCCGGCTTACATGGTGAACTATTTACAGACCAAACAGCTTTACATATCTAATCACACCTTAACTTCAACCGTTCTCCATCATCAGGCCAAACACTAAATCACTAGTATTGCATTTGTACTTCCTCAAGACCAGGTTTATGCCACTTGTTTCCGGTTTCTTTACCCTTATACAATTTCATGTTTTCTGAATTCTTTTTCATCCAAAGTCATAATGGTTTTCTTGGCATATAATACCCTTCTCAAGGCTGAGAAGTGACCATTGAAAAAGGGTCAGACAGTAAGAATGAAATGATGTTGCTGTGGGGGAGGGTACCCCCCAACACTTTTTTTTTTTTTAGATTTGGTCAGTTTTTTGACCAGGTCTGGTCTGTATCTCAATCCTAGTTATTTCCGTACATAGCTAAGCTGACGGACTTGTACAACTACATCTACCTTTATCTATTGAGATGGGGTCTTGTTAACTTTTTTGCACAGGTTGGGCTCTGAACCTAGCCTTTCAAGTAGCTAGGATTAAAGGCATGAGCCACTGGTGCCCAACTTTAGGCTGCCAGTGCATTTAGCAGTTGTTTGCTGATTATACATATTTATAGGTGATGTACATATTGGTAACTTCAAAAGAAAATTTTATACATGCTTTTCCAAGCATGTGAATTTTTTGAGGTGGGGGACCCAATTTTATCTCACTTTTCTATCACTGTGGTCTTTCTCAGCAGTAGCAAGTGTTCTTGTGTTTAATTGGGAAGCGATTCCCTATGATCAGATTAGGTTACCAATCAGGTTTAAGCAATCAGGTTTAAGCTCGTCCTGTTTTATAAAGCTTTAGTGTACTCAAAAAAGTTATTCTGCACGTAAAATAGTTGAGTTCACGTAGTAATCATATGTCCAGTTAAGCAGAAGATACCATGATAAAGATGTTTCTACATTTTCCCAGAGATAATGCATTTAAGAATCCATGTTCTTATCAGTGGTGGAAATGTCCTGCCCATACCACGTGAGGTCCTTGAAATCATTTGGTATGTGACAGGACATGGTACACTTCTCGTCAGTGGCTAGCAGCTCATCTGCCTGTATTGAGAATTTTGTATGGCCCATGAATGTTACAAATATCCAAATGGTCTGTGGCAGCAGAAAAATAGTTCTCCATCCCTACCTCTAAATTATCTCCTATTCTAGTTTTACATTTCACCTTTGAAAACTACAGCATTTGACTATGTCCTAGGTGATGTATTTACTGACTTCTGGTCACATTATTTCTTAAGATTGTAACCACAAACACAAGATGGGGACATAGTTGTTTCCCAATTACTCTGAGTCAATTATCCTTGACAAAATTATATAAAGGGTTAGGAGTACAAAATTATAATAGATTAAACTGTGTTTCTAACAGGAATGATTCTCGCTCACCAGGGAGTATAAGCTACTTGCCTTCATTCTTCACCAAGCTTGAAAGCACATCACCCATGGTTAAATCAAAGAAGCAGGAAATTTTTCGTAAGTTGAACTCCTCTGGTGGAGGTGACCCTGATATGGGTAAGTGGGATTTCTTTCGTGAACCTCAAATAAAACAAACACTAACAATGGTATCTTCAGCGCTGACTCTCCTGTAATCCTTGAGTCTGAAGCCATGTACAGGGAACCCATCCAAAGTATTTGATTCTAAAGTATCTACCAGTTAAGTTGCTACTGAGGAATTAGGAGCCTGCTCCTTTCAGAACCTTCTTTCCTATTTTCTCTGGGAACTAATGTTGGGTCTAAGAGCACACATTTTTCTTAGGTTGAGCTGGGTTTACTCTCTGTAGTTATTTGTGGAACACTTTTGGTCTTAGTTTGATCAATATTTGGGCCATTTCCACATGATTTCTCTTAAAATATTTGAAGACATGCTCTTTATGAATCTTAGGAAAACAAACATTTCATCTGTTTTTCACATCTTTGCTTGCTCTGTGTACCCAATCCTACTAATTCTTCTCTGCCAAAACTTTTTTTGGTCAGTCCTGGGGCTTGAACTCAGGGCCTGGGTACTGTCCCTGAGCTGCTTTTTGCTCAAAGCTTACACTTGAGCCACAGCACCACTTTAGCTTTTTATGTTTATGTGGTACTGAGGAATCAAACCTAGGGCTTCATGCATGCTAGGTAAGCATTCTACCACTAAGCGATTCCCAGCTTACCAAACATTTTTAGCTTAGCTTTTTGGCAAATTCTGTGGACTACACAGTATTAGGATCTATCCTAAATCAGTCATTATTTAGTATTCATATGCATCTATAAGTTGTCTAAAAATACAGTATTCAGTATGAATAATGATAGCAAATCTAAATTAGACTTTGCTGTATGCTAGGCACTATTCGAATATTCTGAATATTCATTCAGTCCTCACATGTAATTTTGTCCATTTTGTAGATGAGAAACTGATAGGTTTTGTAAATGTTAAGTAATGGGGCTATGGATCGATTCCATTCATTCCAACTAAACTCTGTGCTTCCAGTGATGTATTAACTAGCTTCTAACAGCTCTATACCCACAGCATCCTTTTAGATTGCTGGTAATTATCCAGTAAAGTTACGGCAAAAACTTTGGGCTCATGTGCATGCATTTGCCAGAGCCCCCTCTTACTTTTCTCAGTATGTTCCTTGTACTGGCCACCAGTCTTACTCGTCAATTTTATCAGCAATAAAGAACCTTGACAGTTCTCCATCTGCTACTTCTGTGGCCAACCATCAAGTAGTTTCCCAGTTCCACAAAAGGAACGTACATGTGGTTGGCTGCTGGTGGTTCATGCTTGTAATCAATTCTAGCTACTCAGGAGGTTGAGATATGAGGATCATTGTTCAAAACCTGCCTGGGCAGGAAAATCTGTGAGACTCTTATCTCCAGCTAACCACTAGAAAACCAGAAGTGGTGCTGTGGTCTTGAGTTGAGTGGAAAAGCTCAGGGACAGCACCCAGGCCCTGAGTTGAAGCCCCAATAAAATAATTTAAAAACAAATGTACATGTGAACTGCCAGATACTTGTATAGTTGAGTCTGTGCCACTTGTGATGAGTAATGGATGAACCTGAGAGAAGAAAAGATGAACCCAGTATTACTGTTTATGAGTTCTCTCCACTCCTAATTCCTTCTATTTTTGAATGCAAACCAACTGTCTCAAAGATAGTTATTTTAGAATGATTACTAGAATTGTTATCAGAAATAGATAATTCTCCTTGGGGGAAAAAGGAGGGAAAAAACCATTACAGTGATTATTTCTAGTTCAATTGTCACCACCAAGAATATGGTGTCTTTATTTTCATTTTCTATTTGGAGCCTAAAGATGATCTATCAGGGCTGAGAGAGCAGCCAGTGGTTAGGAAGTGTTAACATGGCATGGTCTGTGCTTATCCTCTCTAGTCATGTTTTCCAGTGGGAAGGAAATTCCTAACTGGGAAATGGCATGTGTGATTCAAAGAAGCTACTTGTTTCTTCTTGTCCTTAGCAGCACTCATTGAACAACCACTAAGGGGAGTGTTGTACTGATAGATGGTCCCAAAGTATATGTTAAACAAGACCTGACAGTAAAGATATCTTCACATCTCACAAAGTATCAAGAATGGCTTTAGAGCCTAGGATTCGTTGAGGTGGTGTCTTAAACCTTGATCTTTCCAATCTTTTCACAAAGAGCTGGAATAACAGGCATTACCCTCTCTTCTTGGGCCATTTCTTTTGTCTTCTCAGGATTCTTACATTAATCTAAGTCATTTCATCACCTCTGTAGTTTAAACTGTGAGTTTCTATTTGAAGTCCACTTTTCTTCATAAATATCTAAAGTCGAATTTATATTCTACTTCTGCTCCCTCATCATGGACTCAACAACTCTACTTATCACTTTCTTGACATCCTTTGTGAAGTCTGCCTCCTAAACAGCTCTCAGATATCGATATCTAGCTCTTTCCCCTCTTTTATGAGCAACTGCCATACTCTCTCTAAACTAGGAGTCCTCAAACTTCAATATGCAACATTGTCACTGGAGTGCTTATTAAATGTGTGAATTATAAGATCCAGGAATGTAGAAATTTTGCCTTTGCCCCAAGTTATTCAAGTTATTATTTATATGGCCTACTAAATACACACTGAACTTTAAGCTCTGTAAGAAAAAAGAGGCGGCCGGGTGCCAGTGGCTCATGCCTGTAATACTAGCTACTCAGGAGCCTGAGATCTGAGGATAGAGGTTTAAAGCCAACCCTGGGCAGGAAAGTCTGTGAGACTCTTATCTCCAATAAACCACTCAGAAAACCGAAGTGGCACAGTGGCTCAAGTGGTAGAGTTCTAGCCTTGAGCTGAAGAAAGAGTTCAGCCCAGAATTCAAGCCCCGTTATGACAAAAAAGAAAAAAGGGGGCATATTCTGGGTAACTAGTAGTGAAATTATCATTACCTGATTTTTTATCAGTAAGAAGGTAACTGATTAAATCAGTAATATGCTCAGTAAATATTCATAGAGTATTTTGTCAAATGAATGCATTATTCTCCACAAACTACTACTAGGCTGTTACTTCAGGTTTAGTTTATTTATTGTGTTACCTGGACCTTAAGTAGGAAAATTGCTATCCATAGTCATTGTTTTTATACATCTTCCTGGAGATTTTCCCTCTTGCTCTTGTCAGTTTGAAGCTGCTATAAGAAATGTTATTTTTAGGCACACTCACTCTTCACAGATGGCTGTGATATCCTTTGGTAAAAATCGTCCTGCAGTCTCCTTTGTGGGACATCATTTCTTTGAGCCCCCCCACTTCCAACATTCAGACCCTTTTAAAGTTTTTAGCATCAAGTTGGAGGCAATGATGGAAACACTATGTGTCCAAACTCCTTCCCCTTTTGGTTCAAAATACTTTGCTTTATATGTGGTTCTGAGATTTCTGCTACTTTCATTTAAACTGCAGTACAAATTGTGCGGTTACAGCCTTTTATTTTAGTCAGTCGTGGGGCTTGAACTTCTCTGGGCTTGGACACTGTCCCTCAGCTCTTCAGCTTAAGGCGAGCGCTCTATGGCTTGAGCCACAGAGCCACTTCCAGTTTTCTAGTGGTTATTGGAGATAAGAGTCGCACGGACTTTCCTGCCCTGACTGGCTTTGAACCATGATCCTCAGATCTCAGCCTCCTGAATAGCTAGGATTATAGACGTGAGCCACCAGCGCCCGGCAAAATTGTGCAGTTACTAGGCATGAAATGATCAATAAGAATTGTGTCTTATCTAGAGATAAGACAAGAGAATGCAAGAAAAGCTTCCCATTAGCTATGGTATAGTAGAGAAATCATGTTTTCAAACTGTACAGAGGTAGCTTTCCATTGAATCCATGGTTTCTTTTTCACCAAGAGGCCAGGACTTTTCCCTGTCAATGTAGTTCCCTCCCTTTGGTGAGTTACACTATTCTTGTATTTTGTATTTGCCATCTCACCTGATTTTTTTCCATTTCTCATGCATTAACCGCCACCCCCCCCCCCGCCCCATGTAACATGAAAAATAAGGGCTGAGATCATGAAAAGGTTAACAGGAATTTTTTAAAATCTGTATCAACATACAAGATTGTCTCAATCATTTGTTTAAATACAGCAGCTGCTCAGCCAGGAACTGAGATCTTCAATTTGCCAGCAGTTACTACTTCAGGTAAGATTCAAATTATTTGCTTTTGCTATAGAAAGCAATCTACCAGGTGGGGTGGCTCAGACTTGTAATCCTAGCTACTTGTCTGTGGCAAGAATTTTTCATCCCCAGTGACAAAGGGAAGCACAAATAGGAGGACTGTTTGCTTGGGCACAAAATGAGAGCCTATCTTGAAAATAATAAAAAGGCAAAAGGGGGCTAGAGCTGTGGCTCAAGTGGTAGAGTACCTGTCTAACAAGCCAAGTACAAGACCTTGAGTTCAATCCATTAAAAAAAAAGTCAATACAACAAATAAAATTGAGTATTAACTATATACCAAGGAAGTGCTCTTTCATGCACATGAAAGAATAAAGGTAAGTATAGACTGGGATGGTGGCTCATGACTCTATCAGGAAGCAGAGAGATGACCATATTTCAGAGCCAGCCATCTAAAAGTATCATGCCCTGATTTATCATGATGGTTGTGATCCACCTTGCCCAGCCAAAGGCATGAATGAGATCATAGCCCAGGCCAACTGAGGCAAAAACAGACCCTATTGGCAAAATAGCTAAAGGAGGGCTGGGAAGGTGGCTCAGTGGTAGAGCGCTTGCCTTGCATGCCTGAGGCCCTGGGTTCGATTCCTCAGCACCACATAAGCAAAAAGAAAAAAGCCGGAAGTGGCGCTGTGGCTCAAGTGGTAGAGTGCTAGCCTTGAGCTGAAGAGCTGAGGGACAGCGCCCAGGCCCAGAGTTCAGACCCCACGACCGGACCCCCCCAAAAAAAAATAGCTAAAGGAGAAAGGGCTGGGAGGTTATGGCTCAAGTGAGCCACTATAGTAATTGCATATTAGGTGTGGTCCTGGGTTCAAATCCCAGTATTACCATTAAAATGAGCAACAGAAGTGTGGTTTAATGATTCCCTGGGGAGAGAGTTTTCCCAGCATCACTTGTGGATGGAGATGGCCTCCGTGTTGGCTCTCTGGTCTTCTCTGACACTTGCCACAGTCAGTGCAATTCAGTGGGCCCAAGAGCTGAATATCATCTGATTTCCTATGTCCAGATATACCTTTTAACAAGCAGAAATGCACTACACTCACTATCTCTTCCAGGCTCAGTAAGCTCTAGAAGCCATTCTTTTGCTGATCCTGCCAGTAACCTTGGTCTAGAAGACATTATCAGGAAGGCCCTCATGGGAAACTTTGATGACAAAGTTGAGGATCATGGAGTTGTCATGTCCCAACCTGTAGGAATAGTGTCTGGTAGTGTCAGCACCTCAGTTGTGACCAGCAGTGAGACACGGAGAGATGACGGGGACCCATCACCTCATTCAGGTAATGTTTCTGTTTTAGTGCCTCTGGTGTCTTTCCTGAGATGAGAAAAAAAGATTGATTGCCAAGGTCTTACAATGGTAGATTTCACCTGTCACCTCTGAAGGTTTTATCCCTTCCATAGTTAAAAAACTGCTGTACCAGGGGCTTACACTTGTAAATCCTATCTACTCAGGAGGCTAAGATAGGAGGATCATGGTTCCAAGCCAGCCCAGGCAGGAAAGTCCCTGAGACTCTAACCTGTAATTGTCAAGAAAAACCAGAAGTGGAGCTGTGGCCTGAATTCAACCCTCAAGGCTGGCAACCCCCTTTCCCATTTTTTTTAAAAACTGCTTATATATTACCATAACAGAAATAAGAACATTTTACCCAGAATGTTGCCTGCCTAGCCTGAGTTTTTTTGTTTGCATCTTGTCTTTACCTGTACATTTTAGTGAAAGTCCAAGTATAGTTTCATAGCTAATAATTAACTTGAAATAAAGACATCAGGACTCAGGGCTGGAAATGTAGCTTAGTGGTAGAGTGCTAGCATTGAGCAAAGACAGGCAAAAAAAGATTAAGAAAACCAGCAGTAGGTCATCAGGAAAGGAGAATGAAGATTAAGGAAAGTGATAAATATTAAGAAGATTCATTAAGTCTGTTTACAAAGTCTATGGCTTAATTATAACAATCCTGACCATTTTTTGGGGGGAGGGGGCAGTCGTGGAGCTTGAATTCCTGAGCTTCCTTTGCTCAAGGCAAGTGCTCTACCACTTCAGCTACAGCGCCACTTCTGTTTTGTTTGTTTTTTTTTTTACTGGTTATTGGACATAAGACTCTCACAGACATTTTTGCCCAGGCTGGCTTTGAACTGTGATCCTCAGATCTCAGCCTTCTGAGTAGCTAGGATTACAGGTGTGAGCCACTGGTGCCTAGCTGGTTTTCACCTTTTAAGAACTGATATATATTGTTCTTAAAATTACTTGTTCAACAAAATTTTAGTTTTATCTTTAAGCAACAGATTTCACTATTATAGGTTCACTAGCTGGTCTTCTAGTTTTAAATATGTTTAAAGGTTTTAACATTGACGTCTGTTATGGAATGACAATGATGATACTGGGTGTATAGGCTCAGCTGGGGCTGAGGAAAATGTTTGTTCTGGAGTCTAGCCAAGGGCTTCTCCTGAGAACTGAAGAGACTAGAAATGTGCAGCATGAAGTGGGTGTCTGTTAAGTTTCTCACTGGAGATTCTGCTTTCTTTGAATAGTGTCTGCTCCACTTGCTTCCCTGAAATTGGGGCAGTGGAGAACAAATGTTTAGGCAAGATTTAAGATCTTTGTCAACCTTATTTCTTTAGCACAGATGCTGTAAGGCTAGTAAAGAAACTTTGATGTTCCCCAAACTTCATTTCCTTGATCACATTTTTACATGTGTCTGTGTACCCACACTGTTTCTGGGGCTTGGGTGCCATCCCTGAGCTTTTGTGCTAAAGGCTACCACTCTGCCACTTGAGCTACAGCTTCATTCCTGGTGTTTAATTTGAGGTAAGAGTGTCATGGAATTTCCTGCCTGGTCTGGCTTTGAACTGCAATCCTCAGATATCTCACTCAGCCTACTGAGCAGCTAGGGTTACAGATGTGAGCCACCAGTTCCTGGCCCTTGATCACATGTCCACTTTTCTTTTGGTTACTACAAGTGACAGTTTTGCTGTTTTAAAGTTGAGAACTGAAATGCTGAATCAGTAATTTGATATGAATTTCACTTTTAGGAGTTTGCAAACCAAAGTTGATCAATAAGTCAAACAGCAGAAAATCTAAATCTCCTATCCCTGGTCAAGCCTACTTAGGAACAGAGCGACCCTCTTCAGTCTCCTCTGTACATTCAGAAGGGGATTACCACAGGCAGACACCAGGATGGGCCTGGGAAGACCGACCGTCTTCAACTGGTGAGGAGTCTGTTCTAAACTGATAGAAAATGCGATTGAAAACAGAGTTCCTTAAAAAGCAGAAACTTCTATAGTTTGAAAGAACTATTTTCCAATTTCTATTATCATGAATAGTTTCTACTTTCCAAAATAGAAATTCAGGTCATTCTCTCCCCACCCCTCCACCCCCCAATCCTGATTGATTGTGGAGCTTTTACTCTGGGCCTGGGTGAAGTCGTTGAGCTCTTCATCTCAAGGTGAGTGCTCTACCACTTGAACCACAGTACCACTTCTGGTTTTCTGATGATTAATTGGAGACAAGTCTCCTGGATTTTCCTGCCCAGGCTGGCTTTGAACGGCAATCCTCAGATCTCAAACTCCTGAATAGCTAAGGATTACAGGCTAAGGCACTCACACCTACCAGTTTTGGAAGTTTTAATGCAAGGTCTGATTACCATAAACAGAACAACTAATCCCACCCATGTTCCTTCCTCCTTCTGTGTCGTGCTTACTGGGAGCCAATGTTTGCTGTTCGCAAAGTGAAAAGCATAGTGCCTGATAAAGGAGTGCTAGTCCTAAAGTGACTCACCTAGCTTTTTATAGAAAGAAATACAAAGAAGTCAGAAACAAGATTTTGTTTTTCAAAAGCTATCTGTAATGTCTTCCACTGTGTTTTTGCATTTTTTAAACTGTGAGGATAATTTAAAAAAGGAACTAGGGTATGCTGTGAATTTCAACATTTCAAAGATCTGTATGCTTTCGTGAGGCATTAAAAGCACATTATATACCAATCGTCGTGTGCCCCCTCCAACACATAAAAATGACATATATTACACCAGTCAGATTTTAAATTCTCATGCCATGTGTGAAGTAATCATGTACTTTGAAAACTTAAGAGTAATCTTAGACTAATATTGATGGATCTTAAATATCTCTTAGGGAAGGATTTTTTCTTATGCCATTTTATTAAGTAAATTTTATGTATTATGTCTGGTCTATTTTTAGTTTCTTAAGCTATAGAACTCATTTTGGAAAGCTGTGTCACTTGTTCCTCTAGTACTCAAGAAGGGGCGGGGATTGAGGATCAAGGATAGAGCGTTGAACTTCTCAGACAGAAATGTTTGCAAGACCTTATAAAAAATAAACCATAAGCCAGGTGCTGCTGGTTCTTCATACCTGTTCAGACTTAGGAGGCTGCGATCTGAGGACTCTGGCTGAAAGTTAGCTTGGGTAGAAAAGTCCATGAGATTTCCTATTGCCAATGAACCACCTAAAAGCTTGAAGTAGAGCCGTGATTCAGGTGGTAGAGCAACACCCTTTGATGAAAAAGCTAAGGGACAGTGCCTGGGATTGGCACAACAAAAGTGCCAGCCTAACCAACATAAGCTCTGAGTTCAAGTCCCAGTTACCACTCCCCCCAAAAAATAAGCTTTGAAGGGAATTTAGAACTTGACAGAAAATAGTAACATTAATGTTACTATTTTTCCACTTGTGAGTTTTACACTCTGCTCCTTCCCAGTCAGACTTTGTAGGTGAATTGTTCTGCGGCCCATCAGCTGCTGAGGTTGCTGGGTATGTTCCCCACCTCTGAGAACTGTACTTTGGGATTATTCTCAAAGCAGTCAAGGAAGTTGTGGGACTACCTAGGAAGACAACTTATATATAGTTACGTTTCAATTCTCCACGGAAATGTGACAGGTAAAGATCGGAAAGTCCAGCCCTTGTTTGTGTTTTGGCTCAGTAGCCCCTGCTGATACGCTTCCTCCTATCAGTCCATGTTATATGGGCTGACTGCCATCTATCACTGATGACACTTCACTGGCCTGTTCACAATTGTATGAAGTTACTTTCATGGTGTCACAAGACTTTTAAGTAGGATTACCCTGTCATATACATTTTACAGAGGGTGGATTGGATGTAATAGCAAGTATGCTCATGATACTGAAAAACCTCATTTTTCTTTTGTCAGGCTCAACTCAGTTTCCATATAACCCTCTGACCATGCGGATGCTCAGCAGCACACCACCAACACCCATCGCATGTAACCCATCGGCTGTAAGTCAAGCAGCTCCCCACCAACAGAACCGGATCTGGGAGCGGGAGCCTGCACCGCTCCTCTCTGCACAGTACGAGACGCTGTCAGACAGTGATGATTGAACTTACACAGTGAAGGGACTAGACAGGGTGGGTAGAGAAGGCATGGGGGCAGTTCTAGTGGTTGGTCGGTTTTTAAAATTGTGGGTCAAAAATGTGCCCTCTTGTGATTTGTGCCCAGAGACTTCTCAGCAGAGCCAAGGCATCGATTGATGAAGAAATGACTGAAATTCACTTGGAAAGTCAAATTGGGGGAGGGGGGGTGGGAGATCCTGCCTCGATACAGGCAATTCGGTGGATAATAGTGGAGGGTTGAAATGTAGAGTTTTTAAAAAGTGGACAATTCATGTTCTTACATCTGTTTGTAAAGAAAAGCATAATGTCTTTAAATTACTCTTCTGTAAATAGATGACCTTTTTGCAGTGTATCCCCTTGCTGTAGTATCTGGTGTACTTACATGCAAATCAGCGTATTAATGTTGGGGGTAATTTTAAAAAAATCTTTTCATCTATCTTTTTTAACCATAGCCTTCTAAACAACCTCATACAGCCTAATTACATAATGTTGGCTGTCACGGGCATTGTACTTTTTATCTGATTTTATTTCCTCTAAATTTAGCTTCCCAGTGATATTTAAAATCTTGTGGGAAATGTTTAGATTTTTAACAGACTGTCATATAAAATCTAGACATTAAGGTCAAAAGGTAATAGCAAGAAAATTCTGCCATTTTGTAAATTTCCAGTGCAGGTTTGTTTTTTTTTTAAGTAACACTGAAAAAATATTGCTGCATGGGTATATTATAGTTCAGTTTTTAAAGTTTTAAAGGCTTTTTTGAGGCATACCTCACACTGTTATGCACACTGGTGATTTAACCATGCCCCTTAAGTATTCCTTTTCTTCTGCATCTGATGCAGCCCAATAGAGCTTTTGTTTTGAAATAAATTTGACTACCCTGTCCATAGAGCTACAGTAGATTATTTGTGATTTAAGGCTCTTTGTGTCTCAGGTTTCAAAAGATTAGTTTGGCCTACATAGTTCTTAAGAGTGTAAAAAATGATTTGTGTAGTACCTCAGGCTTTTAGACTGAACTTTATACTGCACCCTGACAAGCCTTAGGGTGAACATGCAGTTCTTTACCATATCTATGCCAGCGCTTACTCTGCTTCCTTAGGACAAGAGATGTAATGTTATTTTACATCAAGGTGCAAATAATTTAAAAATATTGAACTGTAAATTAATTATGGTACTGAAGAGTCAAGAGTTTTATCCTCCACTATTAAGAATTGCTTGCAGATTTTTTTTTGCATTTTTTTTCATATAACTTAATCATAGCATTTAAGTACCCTCCCACAGCATACAAAAGAATGCCGCTGGTAACTGGAAAGGGGAAGAGATAGAGCTCTCTCAGGACAGTTAGCATTAGCACTTTACAGCATTTCATGAACACCTACGCTTTTAAATGAAAATACGAAAGCAGCACTATGACTGAAACCACTGACTAAAACACCCTCTCTCCTCCTTATTGCCTATATCCCTGTTGTCTAATCTCTATTATGGAGACACAGGCTCAGTACTTTGCACATATTCAACAAGTGACAAAAACAGGCCATAGCCCATGTTTGTCTGGACTCAAAGCCTTTCCACTTGTCACTTCCATTCTTGAACTCCTAAGGTCCTCAAGATCAAGGAAGTGGTCAGAGCTCCTATTACTTGGAAGGTTGATACCTTTATAATAGTATTCATAAAAGGAATGAAAATCATTACATGTTCTAATAGTTTTCTGCTAAAAGTTTTTCAGGTACTGGCAATATTCTACAACTCATTAATAATTTATACTGCCATTTGACCCCCAAACAGATGATTGTGATATTTTTCTATGATCCTGAGGGTCTTGAGGTATTCAGAGTTGGGTTAGTGTCTAAAATAAGTCTTGATTTATTATTCTTGCAGTTCCACTTCTAGACCCCAGGGTGTGCTGCTGCTACTAACCACTCACACCACCCTAATAACAATGGTTTGTTATCACCTGGAGAAGAGATTGCAAAATGGAGATGAACTCCAATAGCATTTCTTAGTTGAAAACAATGAAAGGAGAAATCCTCATATTGCTTACCTAATGAAGCAAACCTGAGATGGGTGGAGGTGCCATGGCCAGCACAGCACTGAGTGAATGGTGACTTACTGACCTTACCTGCAAACCCAAGGCATAATTCTTTGCAGGCTAAGATTCAGCCTTCTGACTACATCCTTAATGCATGATTTTTTTTCACAACCAGAACTAAACTAATGTCTTCCAATATTGTTCATAGAAATATTCTGATAGTCAATTTTCCAGTGCATGTTTATAATTGGACATTTCCTATTGCTTTAATTTGGTATGTTAAGTGCTTCTAATTTGAATACACTTATGCTCTGAAAACTCCAGTGACAGTACAGTTAAAAATTAGACTATTTTAAACAATTCAAGCCAATCAGTAAAGGAAATGAGTATTTGTTTCACTACCTTGCTTTTTACAACAGTGCAAATGAACATTAGTAAGAACACCCACATGAAGGGATTGTCATTCTGAAAACTCCTACTGAGTTTTTCCAGCACCGGGACCATGAAAAGAATCATTGTGAAGAATTAAAAATTCTTAAATAAAACTTATAGTGAAAAACCTAACTTTCAGTAACCTTTGCAATTGTAAAAGGTAAAACATTGTCTACGCACAGGTGAGTGAGTGGTTGGCATTAAAACTGGATTACACTGAAACTTACCTCTCTCAGGGTTAGACTTATTGGTAGGGTACCAGCCAAGCAAGCTGAAACAGAGGCACTGAGTTCAAACCCTGGTACAGAAAGATGGAAAGAAATTTTCATCTGCAGACTACAAAAGTCTAGTTTAATTTCTAAGGATTTGGGCCGTAGGTTTTTTTTACCAAGATTTAAACAAGTCATTTTTCTGTGAGAAATTCAAGTATTACGGGAATACACACAATATTGTTGTGTAGTCTATAGTTTATTATGAAAAGATTTTTCCAATATTTAAATAATGAACCAAAACTTGATACACCACCTCAAAAGTGTTCCTTCATAAAACCTAAAAAGCTGCCTTTTCCCTTAAACAAATGGCTATTTGCAAGATAGGGTGACACGCCATCTCTGTATCTTGTATTTACATGTTTTGAAACAGTGTGATGAAACTCAAAGTAGTATGGCAGCTTATTAAGTCATCTGACTAGATACCCATATAGCTACAAAAGGATTCTCATTTCTTTCCCCCTTTACAGATGAGGAAACAAAATAAGAAAGCTAGGACTGTGATCCAGGTCAGTGGTTATACTATGTTCTCAGCACAAGAGGGAGTGACTGCAAGGCTACAGGTGCAGGAGCTTGTTCTTAGTCAAAAGGTCTAGAGTACATTCTGGGTTTCTTTACAGCTCTTTAAAGAGGACCTCAGATGACTGTTGAAACTTCAATAGGAAAGGAACTTGACTGCTCACATAGCACTGACAAGGCAAGAGGCTGCATCCTTCCTTCCTTCCCTCATCATGACAATACTAACTTTATAGCCATAATTTGCCATCCCCAATTCCCCATAAAACTTTATGCTGGCTGCCAAAGGCCAACTAAGGAATTACTTCTCTTCCTTTGTGCATGAAGTCCCACACTGTGCTTCAGGAAACGGCTTTATCAGAGGAAAACTCACCAAAATCCTCTTCTGCCATGAGACATGTGGCTCTAAGAAGTCAGCGAGATATTGATATAGTAAGAGATGGGCAGCAAATCAGTAAACAGATGGCCAGGCATAATGATGGTATCCCTCACCCCAAGAGAACACTGGCCCATCTCAATCTATAATTAGACTTAGACTGGCCGAGACAGCAACTAATCACACAGTATTACAGAAAACATTGGTCTTTAGAAGTCATAATCATTCGAGGGTGAATGTTGTTTTTCCTTTAAAAACTTAGTGGCAATGTATACAACTTATCCTTCACCAAGGCTAACTTGAGCTATTCCTTGGATTACTAGAAATCCCCCCTTCCCTACACCAAAATGAACTTAAAAGCTTGGTAAAATTAAATCAAGTCTACTTTTTTCTCGACAGTTCAGCCAATTCTTCCCTGATGTGCTGTACAGAAACCTCATCCCTTTTCAGCTCTGCTTGCTTCAGTGCTTCCTGGTAGATCTCTTTTGCTTGTGTATATCGTTCTAAAATAGCCCAAAGAGAAGGGAGAAGAACAAGAAAACTTGTTTTCAAAGTAATTCTAAAGAGAAAGCACTAATGAGGGCACAGGTTTTACAGTGTGCTAAGTGAGTGGTGCTGTCTGGTTTCATCTCTCCTTGACAAGCCAAGAGAAGCTAGACATTAGCTCATGTGTAAAACTAAAAGCTACCAAGTTGCTGTGGGATTCCTAACTGCCCTTTCCTGGTGTGCCACAGGATCCTCAAATACACTTAGAGAGGATTATCATTGTAAAGTATTCTCTAACTTCATACAGTTCAACTGGTTAGCACAGAAATACATAAGTTTTCTTTTTTTTTTTTTTTTGGGGGGGGGGTGGGTCCGGTCATAGGGCCTGAACTCTGGGCCTGGGCGCTGTCCCTCAGCTCTGCAGCTCAAGGCTAGCCCTCTACCACTTGAGCCACAGCACCACTTCCGGCTTTTTTCTTTTTGCTTATGTGGTGCTGAGGAATCGAACCCAGGGCCTCAGGCATGCAAGGCAAACGCTCTACCACTGAGCCACCTCCCCAGCCCCAGAAATACAGAAGTTTTATGGGTTAGGAATACAACTCATCAACCTAACATATGCTGTTGTTTTTGCCCTAACAACTAACCTTTTAATTTAGAAATTTCTTCACTGTTCCTTGCCCCATCTAAATATAATTTCACATACTTATAAACTCAGTGACACTTTTTCCCTCAAAGCAAGCCACTCAAGTTTTCACTACTACCTACCTCTGTGCATCAGAATTGCAGCTAGATTACTGAGCACCATGTGCAGCTCAGGATGGTTTATTTCTCTTGCCAGATCTGATGCTCTTTGCATATAAAGATAGGCCTCATCAAAGTGGCCCTGTGCATCCAGGGCAGTAGCAAGGTCACTCATCAGCACAATAGTCTAGAGAGAGAAAGAGCCTTTTCTTAAAAAAAAAAATAAGCAATATCATATGTTAGTTTGGAGTTTATTAAACTGTGAAAACACAAAGATTCCAACTTTCCCAGCATTTCATGAATGGCCATAATATTAAATTTAAGACTATAACAAAAAAATCTAGACACTAGAAAATGGGATGAGTACTATTAATCCACCTAATTATCAAATTTGAAGTACCAAGTAAAAAATAAAAGAAGTTATAGTATGACTGTATGATTCTACTGAAGGTTCAACAATTTTGAGAAACTAGCAAGCCTTAGTATATTATTTTGTTCCATCTGGTGATCATGAGTCTCATTAAAAGGAAGTAGAATTTTTCTGGCTCATACCTATAATCTTAGCTACTCAGGAGGCTGAGATCTGAAGACTGTGGTTCAAAGGCAGCCTATGAGACTCATCTCCAATTAACCACCAAAAAAAAAAAAACTAGAAGTAGAGCTGTAGCTCAAATGGTAGAGTGCTAGCCTTGAACACAAAAGCTCAGGGACAACATTCAAGCCATGAGTTCAAACCTCAGGACAGGCAACAAACACTGTTTAAAGTCCTAGATTCCTTCTCTAGACAATTCATAACTCAGATTCCCTTCTTTAACATTCACAAAACCATCCTTAACTCAAATAATTTTAAGGAGAAATAAGGTATTAATTCATTGTGTTTATTACTATTCTAACAGAAAGCTGTGCATGTTCTTAAATTCTGTAACCGTCTATGGTCTACTGAACTCCCTCTCCCTCCTCAGTTCCCTGTAAGAAAGGACAAGGGAGGCAAGCCTACTTCATGTATCAGTTTCTTGTCATTCTAATAGGGGGAGGGGTAACTGCAGCCTCCATTCTGAAATACCAGGCTGTATAATCTGAAGTCACAGAAGCACAGTTACCTAGTTAGAATTGCCTTGTAGAAGGTAAGGTCAATCAATCATCTGTGCAAACCATGACTTATGAAAAAGGTTCTGGGCAGACCCAATGTTTTCCAGTTTCTTTTAGTGGTAGGAAACAAAATGAATCAGGAATGCAAGGACTAAAAACATCTAAGAAACATCTTCTGATTCTGCTTTTTGGCAGGACTGGGGTTTGAACTAAGGGCTGCACACTTGCTAGGCAGGTGCTCTATTCCCCAGCTCTTTTTTTACTTTTCTAAGTTATTTTTCAGATAAGGTCTCTGGTTTTTGTCTAGAGCCTGCCTGCTTCCACCATGGCTAGAAGATTGCATGCCACCATACCCAGCTTGTTGGCTGATAGTTGGTCTCGTTAACTTACTTAGCCCAGGGGGGGTAATCTAACTGCAGCTCTCCTGATCTCTATTTTCTAAGTATCTGATTTATAGGAACGAACCTCAGTGCCTGACACCATTATTTTTGAAGACTTAATTTTATGTATTTTCTTCTATTACCTGTGGGTGTCTTTCTCCTTGTATTTCTTGAGATATCTGCAGGGCTTTTTCATACATTCTTTGTGCCTGTGATGGTTGCTTGGAGAACAGCAGGTAGCGTGCATAGGAGTCTAAGCACATGCCCAGAAGGAGGCGTGTATTGGCTTTTTCTTCCACTAAGAAGGAAGTAAGCATTGTAGGCATGTAACAAGTACACAATAGAAAGTATGGCAGTTAAGCAACCTACCTCATCATTTTGGTTACTAGGACCCATTGAATGTCTCAGGGCACTTCGATGTACTCTTAGCTTTACACTGAGGGGAGGCCATTTAGGTGGTCTAGCATCCCATAAGATAACATTCCAGACTGGCTGCAATCATGGAACTTCCCCTACATTTTAAGTAGATTAATTAAGAATCATAAATGATCCATAGGTCAATTTCAATTTGAAACTAATAATTTTCAGCAGAAACAGATTGAAATAAACCCTAAGTCAATTTGTTCTTAAAAAAAAAAGCAGCACAGTAAAAACCCAGAAAACACTCAAATTCGGAAAAGTATCATTTAAGTAACTTTTAACCCAGTTTTCCAAGCATAGTAATGACCAGAATGATATAGCAGCTTTCAAAATATTACAGAATTGACCACTGCATCTAAAGATCAAACAGCATAAAACACCTAGTACTATTAGTCTTAAGAACTGGAGAACACCAACCTAAAAAACACTAACCAGTATCAGCTTTCATAAGGCTTGAGACCCAAATAATGTAGAAAAGGTAATGAGCAAGATTGAATGGAAGTTCTGCAAACAACTCAGCAGGAAGTAAATGTTTGCATTAAAGTTTAGAGGCAGGGGTATCCTCAAGGTAATTTTATGTAGCTATCAGACATCCCAGTGAAATGTCCACTTGGGCTCTCTGACCAGCAAAGCTTATCATTTAGAGCAAACTCTTCCACATCAAGATTTTCAGAAATTTACAAATGGCACATGGAATTTACATAAAACTAAATGATAGGAAGACCAACTACTGAAGATAAGAGATTATGTAACAGTTACGGTGAGTTTTGAAAGGGTGGAGGTAAAAAAAGCTTCTCTAAAGTAGACATAGCAAATTACTTGCTTTTATTTAGTCACATATACAAAAGGTCAATATCTTAAAAATTAGGAATAGTTTTAAGTAGACCACCTACAAGTTTGTTTCAAAGAAATATAACAATATTTTTTGCAAACAAGCTATTTATGGAAAAATGTAAGTTAGACTACACATGTTACATGTAAGGATAATCTCTACTAAAAGGGAATTATTACAAGTATCTAAGCACTCTTTAAGAAGCTGTGCAGAATGTTGTGATTAAAACACAGAATGAGCCAGGCACCAGTGGCTCACACCTGTAATCCTAGCTACTCAGGAGGCTGAGAATTGAGGATCATGGTTCAAAGCCAGCCCAGGCAGAAAAGTCTGTGAGACTCTTATCTCCAGTTAACCAAGAAGTGGCACCGTGGTTCAAGTGGTAAAATGCTCATGTTGAGCTGAAGAGCTGAGGGACAGCACCCAGGCCCAGAGTTCAAGACCCACAACCAACAAAAACAACAAAACCCCCCAAAAAGAATGAGATAAATTTGTATCCCTGTGTGCGCAACCTGTGTACAAGTCCATGAAGAAAAATTTGTAACATATTTGAAATTTAGAGTATCTCACAGCTATTAAAATTCATATTTGAGAATATCTAAAAACAAGGGAAAATGTTCAACACACACCAAAGATGTCACAGAACAAAATTATATGACTATTTTAATACTGAACACAAGGTGCTCCAAAAATAACAGCCATGTATTATTTCTGGGCATTTGTAGTTTTTTGTTTTTGACACAGTCTTGCTTAACAGCTCAAATTCACAAGATAACCTTGCCAGGCCTTGAACACCTAATAACAGAAACTTCTGCTTAAAAAAAAACATGTAAGCCAGGCGCTGGTGGCTCACGCCTGTAATCCTAGCTACTCAGGAGGCTGAGATCTGAGGATTGCGGTTTAAACCCAGCCCAGGCAGGAGAGACCATGAGACTCCTATCTCCAACAAACCACCAGAAAACCGGAAGTGGCGCTGTAGCTCAAGTGGTAGAGCGCTCGCCTTGAGCTGAAGAGCTGAGG